ATGATACCCCCCGCCTCTCATATTGTGGCGGTCAGCAAATGGAAGAAGTCCATGTTTTGCTGTAGCTGGAAAACCCAAAATATGTGTTGGATCAAAAAATAAAATAGGAGGTACACAATGGCAATATGTAATAAAGATTCCATGAAAGTTTCATTAAATTTCACTCAGTGGTTTAAGAGGAATTGTGGATAAGAGATGGGTACCCCAAAATGTAACAGACGGACGGACGGACGGACATATCGATTACTATATCCTACCACTTTTCAAGTGGGGGGTATAACAAATAAGATCTTGCACTCCAACAGTCTTGTATGGAAGCTGGAGTGCTTGTCACAGCAGTCACGTTACAATATTAGGTCTTAATTTCAGGTTAATTCTCTGTCTGGACATGATACCACATTTACATGCAAATAAACCATTGGCCACTGCTCCTGATGAAGTCTAAATTACAATTGTTCCACTTAATTGAGTACTGATTAGGATGTGATGGTTTTTACGTAGTTATCGCCCTCTCCTGTGGTCACTCAACCACTGGCTTTAGGTTTAATGAGTTATATTTTACCCCATAAGAATAATTAATTGAAAATTATCACAGGAAGTGTTAATGGTTGTTGGAGACAAACTCATTAAGACACTCGTATGATAATGTGAGCGCATGTGAACCTAACATAAATAATTCGTCATATTACTTCCAGATATACATAACTTAATCGATTTCTGGGCCTATGATATTGATAAAACGGTTTGGAGCATCCAACTAAATGCAAATGTTTCATTAATTTTGATATTCCTAAAAAGAAAATGACATAATTTTGTATTTTGATTCTTGGGTTGAATAACCGTAAGGTCATATATCTATAATCACAATCCAAAATTATGAATTATTTGATATGCATTTTGCAGAATTATTTAATTTTCATTCATGAAAAAAAAATTGTAAAGTCAAATATCTTGCATGCAGGCTCTTTAGATTAATAAATGTCATTGATACAACCTTTAGCAGATTTAATTGGCAGTTTAAGATAAGATATCAATGGTAGAATTTACATAGTCTACAGCTTAAACATAATCACCACGAGTACTTGTCTTGTCTATCTTAAACAGCAAATTGCCAACATCAAATCTGACATTGATTTTTAAATTGCAGTTAAAATTATCTTTTTGATGTTCAGACTTTCCTAATTTGCTGTTTAGTCAGCCAATATAGAGGAGTGCAAAAAATCAGGGTGTTGGAATCTGTGCTGCTATCGAAAATTGTTATTGACGCCCTCTTATCTGTAGAGTATATATAAATCCCATATAGTAGGCATCTATGGATGGCTGAAGGATTTTAAAATCTGCAGCAAGTTTGGCTAAATTGATATCACGATTTTTTTTTTTTTACATTTTACTTGGTAAAACTGATATTATAAATATGTAAAAACCAGCTTAATGATAATTGCTGTCATTGATTCGGCTTTTATCTATAGAGTTTCTCGGGTTTGATCCAGATTCAAAGCTTATGATATATAATTATTTAATTTCATTTCTCAATTTGGATATGAGACTGGTTCATCTTTTGAAATAAATTGCAATTGCTGACATTTATATAGGGGAAAAAAGTATGCTTGTCTTGGCTGTTTCAGTGATAGAACCTTGAAGGTATAGAATTTAAAAAGTAGAATTTTTAGCTCACCTGAGCCGAAGGCTCAAGTGAGCTTTTCTGATCAAAATTTGTACGTTGTCTGTCATTGTTTTAGTCGTTGTTGTCATTAACTGTTCACATTTTCATCTTCTTCTCAAGAATCACTGGGCTAATTTCAACCAAACTTGCCACAAAGTATCCTTGGGTGAAGGGGATTCAAGTTTCTTCAAAATGAAGGGCCATTTATAGCCCTCTTCCAAGGGGAGATAATTATGAATTAGTGAAAAATTAATGGCATCTTTTAAAAATCTTCTTCTCCAGAACCATTGGGCCAGGAAAGATGAAACTCATGTGGAAGCATGCATCCTCAGGAAGTGTAGATTCAAATTCAAGTTTGTTCAAATCATATGACGCCTGGGGGTAGGGTGGGGCCACAATGGCTAATCAAAATTTTACATAGGAATATATAGGAAAAATATTTTAACATTCTTCTTATCCAGAACCACTGGGCCAGGAAAGATGAAACTCATGTGGAAGCATCCTCAGATAGTGTAGATTCAAGTTTGTTCAAATCATGACCCCTGGGGTAGGGCGGGGCCACAATGGCTGATCAAAGTTTTACATAGGAATATATAGGAATTAAAAAATAAAACCTTCTCCAGAATCATTGGACCAGGAAAGATGAAACTCATGTGGGAGCATTCTCAGGTAGTGTAGATTCAAGTTTGTTCAAATCATGACCCCCGAGGGTAGGGTGTGGCCACAATGATTGATCAAAAGTTTTACATACTAGAAATATATAGGAAAAATCTTTTTAAAAACTTCTTCTCTAAAACCATTGGGCCAGTAAAGATGAAACTAATCGAAGTATCCTCAGGTAGTGTAGATTCAAGTTTGTTCAAATCATAGAGTTAATTCAAATTTGTTTATATCATGACCCCTGGGGGTAAGGTGGGGTCATGATGGGCAATCAAATCTTTACATAGAAATACACTTTATATAGGAAAAATCTTTAAAACTCTACTTCTCAAGTATGGCGAAATTATACAGGTATGCTTTATTATTATATATGCACTATGCTTCATTGATATAGTGACATTCTCAAGTAATAAAACATTCAAATCCCCCTCCCCCAACAAGTAAACTTTTCAATACTGAGCTGATTTGTTTTTTTAACTAGCCCATGTGCTCAGGTGAGTCCATGGGCCTCTTGTTAAAGACTTTTGTTCTACTCTTTATTTATTAAGTTATTGAGCTCTCAGAGAAAACTGCTCATGGCTCTTGAGGTAATATTATTTACTTTCACTCTTCTGTTTTCTGTATGAAAGAGAGCTGTGTTTGTGCTCACGTAATTAAAACATTCATAGATGAACAGAAAATACCCATCCATTTGTAAGATGGAGTATTCACAAACAAGTCACTTAAAACTTTTAATTGGTACTGCTTAAAAAGATATTGAAGCCTGTAAAATTAAGATGCTGTTGTACATAGCAAAATGTTTGATGGTAAAAGTATGCTTAAAGCAAACACTGTTATTATGAATTCATGCATACAGCAAAAAGAGTTTCATTACTCTATGACTTTAAAGCAATATGAGCTGCATTTTGGAGAAATTAATTTTGGCGTTAAAATATGCTATTATGATAAATCTGTATGTAATATGAACCATTATGTTTAATAAGATTGATATAAAGAATTATTTTTGTTTTCAGAAGAAAGATTTCTACAAAGGAATGTATAGTATTATAATGTAAGAAATCAATATTGTACAGAATGACAATTAATGTAATTTTGCTTCAATCAAAGCATATAAATAGTTCTGTCTGAAATATAAAGGATGGAAGTTTATTAATGTTCTTTTTTCTGTCATTTGAATACTGTAAATGTATTATATTTAGCATGTACGATATTTGGCGGAAATTGATTTTTGAACATGTTAGCGTAGATTTGATTTAGCGCATTTCTCAATGTTCTTATTTATGTATACATGTGCAAGATATTTAGCGTTGTACTTGAATTAGCGGAAGTTCCTTTCCGCCAAAAGCGCTAAAAAGAATACACAGCCAAATGTAATACGTTTACAGTAGTTAATAACAATGTTGGAAGAAAAATTTTTACGGCATCAAACTTGCAGCTCATATTTGCTATCATAAATGTAATGTATACAATGATGCTGTTAACAAAGTTAAATTATGTGTCCCTGGGCAGATCATTTTATTGAGCATGTTTTACTGTTTTATCAATATGGTCTGAAAATCAACGCAAAAAATATTGCAGCTACATGTATATATTGATATGTTCTGAAAATTTATAGTTTTAGATACGAGTCTAATGAAAACTTTTGAAGATTTTTAACTGTGCAGTAAATGCTGTTGAACTTGCTCACTTTTAAAATTAGCAACAGAATACATGTGTTTGAAAAAGGGGGATGGTACTATTTATCTCATTCCCAAACTCCCTGAATAATTGATTAAGTAAACTTCAGACATTTCTGTTGTGTATTCGAGACATCTTGTCATTCTTCAGAGTTTATATATTTCCTAAGTGGATATTTAGAGTGTGTTCAGCTTGGTCAAATTTCCAGCAATCTCTCTGAATAATGGAATGCTCTGCTGGAATTTAGTGGTGAATACAGTTAAAACCACTGAGATACCACTTAACACAACTCTTGATTAGATTAAGATATCAATATACTTCTATCATTGCAGGTGTTTTAAATAATTTAAATCTGTTTTTTCAATGTTTTTATTAACATGAATTTGTTTTTTTAGGTTGTTAATGAAGATCCTTAGTCTTTTAAAATAATTACTGTTTGAGTTTAATTCAGTGCAGACAAACATTTCATTATATATAAAATTCAACTCCTGTGATAAGATCTTTTTTCTGCATCCCCCCCCCTCTCAGAAAAGGAGACATTTTCATTTATTTTCAGGCAACTTATAATGAAGGGATCAAAATATATTTTTTCTTATGACAAACAATACAGTATATAAGATCAATTTTCAGGCTTTTGTCCAAATCAATATAAATCACTGTTCAACATGTTTACTGAAGTAAACTGCTTGCATACTTTTGCCAATGCCAGAGTATGCTAGTCTTCTAAAAATATTCTTACTTTGGTCGGAATCCATCAATATTATGTTACCTGTAACAAATGTTTATCTATGGAGACAATCCCAAAGAGTTAATGCACTTTTATAACACATGCTAAAAACATATCCAGTTCTGAAACATCTCAGAAATGAGGTTTATTTTCTGCTCAGTTAATTGAGATGTAATAAACATGATAATGATGCAATGTCTGTTTCTATAATTATGAGAGAAACAGATGACTTATCTACCTGAGAAGTAAATTAAGAATATATGTGTCACCTACCTGTAAGAAATTGGTCTATCCCAGAGTGTCTGGCCAATAAATATAGACCTGCAAAAACAAAAAAACAGAAAAATATAGAAATGTTTAATTAGGGAGTAAGTGAGGAAAACAAATCAATTTCCATCCAGCAGCCCACTTTAATCACTTAAAGAGGGTCATTAATGTTCAGGGACAAAATATTATGGGAATATTTTTTTTTAACTGACTGCCCGAGGGTAGGTATGATCTTTCATGATAGCCAATTGACTAGCAATCCAAGAATCAATTAAGTCCCCAGCATCGCTAAAAAAAAATTCTATTTTGAAATACAGTCCTAATGCAAGCTTGAAGCATGGATAACATGAAAAGTGTTAGCTGTTTTCATTTCAAGCTTTAAGCTGCTACTGATTAGGAATTTCTTAAGGAAGATGAGAAATACGGGAGGCATTATAGGGTGAAGAAAAACAAGCGGAGAATTCCTTTGGTAATTTTCATGGGTAATGGAAACAGCTTTTTAGTATTAAAGGAGGATTTATCAGGTCTGCCAAATTATCTTAAGTTACAGGGATATCTTAAGGCCCCTTTGAGAAACAATAAAATGTTATTGCCATGCTGGAAAACCCAAACATGGAGTTTGTAAATTGGGAAAAAAGTTTTCTATATACACATGGTTTCCATATTGTCCCAGACTTTCAAGTCAAACTTTATTTCCATCTCAATCAACTTTTCTTTTTACTTTTAAACATATACATACAATAATGAAATTCTAAGAAAAATGACTTGTGCATATGATGTAAAAAATGGAATACCTTCTTTAATTAGCAAACACATGGAGTATTAAGATCCACTCTTGAAATATAGTTTTTATGACACTTATACTATAAGTTACAAGTCAAGTGACCTGGATTCAACAGGGTGTGAAATGGAAATCCGTATTGGGACTCGGCTTTGCCTCGCCCAATTTTCCATTTCACACCCTGTATGAATCATTAGGTCACAACTGACATGAATTTATTAAGACCTTTTTCAATATAAAAAAAATGTTTGTGCATATTATGAAAATATTAGTTTTAATCCAATAACAATCAACATAAAATATCGTTATGGTTACAAGAAATTTAACTAAACTACCTAGTACGTAAACCGTTTCTTTGCCGCCATTTTTATTTACAATAACAACGCTTCGAACGAAATCGCGTGCCCGGTTTTCATATTACGCCTCGACGGAGACGTAATATGGAAACGGAGACGTAAAACGGAAAATTTCAGGGCGTCATGTGATCAGCCTTTATCCAATCAGCAATCTACAAATTTGTCTGAAGCAGGATAAATTTGAACATTTCTGGGAAATATTTAATGTCCATTTTGTCAAGTGTCATATCACAAACATGATTTTTAAAAATGTTGAAATTTCTTATGAGCAGTTTAAAGCTTTGATTTAAGAATGTTAATTTCAAAAAGAAAATTGATATTCAAAACTTAATTACTTGTCCACTGTAAATGAATTATATTTAGCATGTACAATATTTAGTGGAAATTGTTTTTTTATACAAGTTAGTCTAGATTTGATTTAGTGCTTTTCTGAATATGACAAAGTTTATGCATATATGAAGCAATGGGCGATTTGCATGCCTTATTCGCCCAACTCCTTTATGAAACTTATAATGTTGTTGAATGTCTTTGTCCAACACAGTGCTTTGACCAGAGATGGTTTGGTAGGAAAATAACTTTGCACTATGAGTACAATTTAATTATCTCCAGATTCCAAAGATAGATTAAGCTAGCAATCACCAATGATGAATGGGGGTGGCGATCAGGTTTTATCAAATTAACCAGAGTACCAGGACTAGCAACCAAAGGTTATCATGGTGGCATTGTTTCTGTTTGTGTATAAAAACAATAAATAACAGAAACTGTGCTATTGTGTCAATTTATTACATGGTAATTTTTAGTCAATAAGGCCATCTTTAAAAAAATTGTTTGATTGCCCTCTCCCAACCGACTGGCTATAAATGGTCCCACTCAAAACTTTTTTTTAACATCCAAGAAGCAATTAAGTACTCTGAAAATAGAATTAAATAAAATTATCGTTAAAATTGAAATTTTCTGAGAAAAAAAATTTGTCACCTACCTACTTATCCAATATTTTCACACACAGAGTCAGGAGAGGGCAACCAAACAATTTTCTGGAGGTAGCCTTATATACATAATAATAATTTTACTTGCAAATTGTTAAATACTCTTAACTTAAAGGTCTCACAAATTTCATTTTTAAATAAAAATTATTCTTATTACTTATATTTAATCATATGCACACAATACCATTTTAAGACGTGCAAGATATGTTTTCAGTACTGTGTACTATATAACTTTTTTTTGTCTATAAATATTATTTATATTTCCACAGACATCACAGTGTAATGTCGTCTATATTGCCATTATAATTGTCTTGAATTTGGTTGTGCCAAGATTTTTTTTTAAGATATCTTAGGATTTGAAATATTGAGTGAAAATAAGCAAAGACAAAGTGTCTGAAACTTAAATTCCATCTTGCTTCAAGATATCTGTGGTATTTGAGATATTGCTTTATATTAAAGTTACTGAGAAATTCAACTCTCTGTGCCAAGAGAAAAGTCCATCATGCAGGCCAACACAAAGAAGTTCGTAACCAGAGGATACAATTAAACTAAATATCTATAATTTCACTCCTCAGCTTATGAAATAGACCTACCATCAAGTTCATCTATAGTCAATTAAATCTATTTCCTTTGCACTTCTCTCTTAAATAGACTGTTATAAATTTAAGGGTTCTAAATGTCAATGGCACAAAGTTTACTCTAATGTTATCAATTCTTTTTTTTAATTGGTTGTTGTGTAAACTCGTTAATTATGAACTCTGTACCCACAGTATACATCATGTATCTCTGGTATCATTTGAACCGTTTCCATGAGAACTTTGGGGGGACATTGTTATCTTTGAGTACATCCTTCCAAAAAAGCCCACTCAAAGGAAATCGTGCCCACAAAACAAGCTGAATTGGTGAGGAATATAATGAAATAATTACAGATTTATAAGATGATAATTTTACACCTCATCCCTACTTTAAATGTTACTCTATTATCAAACTTTTACACTGTAGAAGATAACTTTTGTACATGTTTTATGCATTTAATATCATTGGAAATAGAAGAAGCCTTTATTTAACAGCCTCCATGAACCATAATGGAGACAGTGAAAAAATCCTGGTTGAGATTTGTTTCTTTTATTGTGATTTCAACAGATATTGTAAATGAGAATATCTTGTTTTTTGCTAAATTAAAATAATCACATCATTAATCAAGCTGGAAGGTGGTTTTAACTTAGGCCACATTATAATACTAAAGTATATTTTTATAAAGCAATAACAACAACACCCCCCCCCCTTTAAAAGTTTTTTGTTCTCTGCATGTTCATGAAGTTATACAGCTTAAGCTCTCTATTTGTGAACCTGTTAACCAAGGAAGATTTTTACCAACTTTGGTTAAATTTGGCCACTAGTTCATTATGAGGTTCAAATTTTACATAATGCATATATACAGAAAAAGAATTACCTGCTCCATAACTGAAAGGCCATATTTATCATATTTATGAAGCATCCTCTTGGTATATAGATATAGAGACCCTCTATCATTCGTATTGTCCATAATATAGGTCACAATTTTCTAAGGCATGTAAAAATCTTTCAAAAATGTTTTTAAAGAACAATAGGACCGAAGTAACTCAGGTGAGCAATGTGGTCCATGGACCTCTTGTATTCTCTACCATGAACATGCACTATAATGCATGCATTTTCCAGAAATGTCAAAAAAGCTAGGGAGATCAGTTTTAACTGCATGAGCTTATTTAGGTCTGTTCAAAACAAAGTTTAGAAATTCAGGACACGTAATGGCACTTTAGGACTGTAAAAATTTCACATTAATGGTGACACAAATAAAAGGTTTCCAAGAATTCATGTCTCAAAAACACCATTAAATCCAAAAATAGCACTCAGCTCACAGTAGCTGGCAGATACATGCACTTGTCCAATTCCTTTTCTGTTTTTAATGTTAGAAGGGGAAGGGGGGCTTTGTTTTCACTATGGTAAGGGATAGGGGTTAATAAGTAACAATTGTCCACAGTCTTAGGTGTCATGAAGATGTGATGCAGTAGATTGCTGCAAAAATTGACCAAGCAAGTTTGGTTACAAATAATTACTGTTACGACTATTTTTGAGAGATAGAATATTCTTCAAATTAAGCTAAATTAAAAAAAAAAATCAGCCGCTACCTGAATGAAGATGATCATAACTTGAATTGCAATTATGACTACATTTTATTCAATACTTAATATTTAGCATCATTGCAAAAAAAAAGGTTCAATCTCTACTTTTGGGGAATATTTAAAAGATATTTCTACTGATAAGCTAGAGTTACCTGTGATAGTTGTTCTTACTCCACAATGAAACAGCAAAATGCAAAAAAAAAGAATAATGAAGTCGTTAAGAAAATTGTTCGCTTCCTTCCATAAATATTAATTTTCTCACTTCAGTTGGTCTGATAGTAATTTAATTACCTCCATCCCGATACTGATTTCAGAACATTACTCCGTAACTTTTTTCCCAGGAAAAGGGACACTGAATGTAAATGTTTTACAGCCCTTCTATTGGACGAGAAGTGGTTGACAGAACTATAATCCAAGTTTTATCTGCTTGAACATCAGAGTCTTTGAAATTCACACTCAAGTTTGGGTAAAAAAAAATCGAATAGTTATTATAGCAAGGTTAAAATGACCAAAATTACCACATCATGGTCTGCGAAAAAAACAAGGTGGGAACTGTCTAAGGACTTAAATGTAGAGGCTATATATTGGCAGTCCACAACAAATTTATAGGCCACTTAATGATTTACTAATGACTTATAATAGATTGATATTGATTGTGAGGAAAACGGTGCTGACTTTCTATGTCTTTCACAGAACAAGCCACGATGGTGTTCTATCTAAGACCTAGACGTTTGAGCGTTCCAAATCGCTCTGTCAAAGTGTTCTTGACAAGATGGCCCCCAGACTCGTGGATGTCAAGCATAATACCCGTGATTGATTCCCTTTTGCTGTGGTTGCTTTGTCTTTTCAATGATTATTGATAATTTCAAGGAATTTTTTTTTCCAATATCCTGTCTTTAGATTTTACGGTCAAGTTACCATAAGCCAGACATTGTTCCACTTGTGTCATAAACTGCACGGATATTCTGCAAGTGCAATTAATGTCTATGTTTTTTTCTGAAGATTCTTCAGTCAATTGAAATTTAAAAGAAAATGCTTGCATGCCTAGAAATCATTGTTTACATAATACTGGTATACAGTGTGTGTGGTTTTTTTTCTGTCTTACCAAATCCTGCTCCTGGGAGGCTATTTCAAAGCTAATTTCAGGCTTACCATTTCATTGAATTAATCCTAGCTGTCAACACTTGAAGTTTGAAGCACCTTAACCTAAAGTCAGTAAACTATAAACAATTTATTCCATAATATTGCAGCTAAAATTTCTACACCACTGAGTCACAGCTGGAATTGTGATTTAACAAAGTCTTAAGATATTCCGGGCCTGTTCAAGAACCCATAAGATGGAAGGACATTACTACTGCTAGAAAAGTTAGCAGCCCCAAAATTGAGAAAATATGATTAAAGAGATATACATATTGATTAAATTTAACATTTTACTAGCATTGTCATAGAAAACAAAACTACAGACTTTGTAAATATTTCATAACTTTAATTAATCTGACAAAAATATATTGATATTTTTTTTTTTTTATTTTTTTTTTTACATTTTTGGCACATGATCCTTTTGACAATGTTATTTGCCTGGATCTGTATCTTATCTGTGAGATTATATAAGCATTTTAAGGGTTGGAAGAATGTTTTATGATTAGCTTTGGTACCTAAGATTTCTTTGTTAATAAATTTAACAAAGAGAAATATATTGAGAAAATTTGCCTGAATAAAATTTATCTGATATTGATGTGGAATACACTGTTAATTGACATTATTGGCTTTTACATGGTGTTCTATATATAAACTTTTTCTGTTGGATAAATCATAAAAAACATATTACATGTACCTTTGGGCATTTGTTAAAATCTAGCAAAAGAGGTTTAATAGCTGGACTGGAATCAGATAGAAGCAAAAGGGATGAAAAACTAAAATCAGGAATTTTAGTTTTTTATTAAGTACATCATATTCGGAGACTGTGGCATGTTTATTACCATTTTTTATGGGCCTGGTTTGGTAGGGGGAACTTGTCCATTCAAAATAATTAATTGTGCAATCTTTCGAGAACCCAATCCAGTAGGTGTGACAAATTAAGGTACCTAGGTCATTAACTGAAAAGGAAATGCCTTGGTGTCAGATTTCTGCTTCAAACAAATATTTTAATTCTAAAGTGGAGATGTTTTTAGTTGGGTATGTGTGAATTAAAAGCTAATAACTTAAGTAAAATTTGAAAATAATATAATAAACAATTGTTACAATGTATATTGAATTAAAAGAAATGTTATTTGCCAATTAATGTTTAACTTTAAAATACTAGTAAACTAAAAAATACAGAAAATGTTTTTTTCCCTTGCATCAATCACTAGCTTTGCTAATAAACATTAGTGCTAATTTAATGGGATGAAGGGGGATAGTAAAGTCAGAGTATACCATCAATATACTGACATAACACTTTGACACTAGCTAATACCGAGGGAGAACTGCAAGTCATCCAATATGTAAAGTTGTTTATCCTGCTCCTTCCAGCTTAATTAAACGGATTCTCTGTACATATTCATTATTATATTATGTCTTACAGGTAGTAAACCCAGCATTGATTGGAATCCTGAAGGTGTGAGATTTTTCTGTTGGGGGTATGGAGTATCTAGTTTCCTGACTCAGCTGCTAGTACTCAGGAGAGTTAATTGGTAAATTTTTGGAAACATGGGTGTAATTAATCAATAAAATAATTATTTGTTGGTAATTGTATACAGGTATCACATTTCTTTGGAAAAATTTGTCAGTATTTAAGAATAAAACCAAATTTGTGCTCTTACTTTCAAAATGAAAAAGACAGTCAGTACTATAATTACCTCTTCAAAATCTCTGGCTTTCTTATAATAATATTAGATAGAAACTCTAAATACAGAGAAAACCCAGTATTAGGTTGACTGTAAATCTGTAACTGAAGTCAAACACAGTTCGTATTTTTAGCACATGAACTATAGCATGATGATATCTGCATTGTTCTTGACATCGACTATAATGAATGTATGATGGGTAATACACTATCTCGTATGGCTATTATCTAATAGTCACACATCGGAGAGAGTTTCATTTGTCAATTAATAGAACTGTATTGTCCTATATTGTTGCTCTCTGGTCTTGTAAGATCAGTATCATATGGTTTTTATATATTAATTATCTTTTTATATTTTCCACAATGTTTTATAGTACTCCAAGTGATCAGGAAATTAAAACAATTAAATGACACTTGCAAATGTCTTCAACTGTGATTTGCATAAAAGCAGTATACGAAGGTTTTTTTCCCCCCCTCCATTTATAGTAAGATGAAAATTTGATAAAATTTTCCATTTATTTTGTTTTCATCTTAAATCATTCAGAAATAAGAGAAAAAAACGATAATTTTCCAAAACGGATTCTGGTTGAGAGAATGTTCATTCTCTTTTCAGATTAACTTGAAATAGATTTGTACTGATAGGGGCTTGAGCTAGTGTTCACTGGGGCAAACGCAGGAACCCACAGGAATGAAACCTCAGTATGTCTGCATGTTCATTTCCATGCCTTATGTAAATCATCAGGAATAAGCTAAAAGAAAAATTTTCTAACAAATTTGAAAGTGCAACGCAATGAATAATGTAGCTAGTAATTTCATAATGGATTTGTATTTTGACTTTAAAGAATACCTGAAGACCAATTGATTTTTTTTATTTCACAATTCCCATGAATCCTTTTGAGCAGGGGATGCTTACCCCTCCATGGCACCTGATCCTACCTCTGATTTTTTGGAGGTTACTGTGTTGCCTCTGCTCCAATTTTGTATTGTTTAATGGATTTTTGAGCTTGAACACTGTTTGTTATCTCCATATATTTTCTTTTAGATTTCTTGACTCAATCTGCAAAATTTTCTATTGCATTTCTTTAGAAAATGTACCATACATGTACTTAATTTGGCATATTCAAAATTTAGCGAAAATCACTGGGTATGGAGTTCTTATTTGCGTAATCATGAATAAGTGCTATGCATTTTCGTACTTTGTATTGCATTTATGAATCATTTTCTAGAGGTATTCATGAAATAGCGCATCTATGTCCATGCCAATTAAAGCTGCTTAAATATGAAGCTCGCTTTTTTTAGTACACATACAGTACTATAAAGTATAGAAACAAAATTCAAATATCCAGAATTACTGATTACATGATAAGTGGACTTTTATTTGATGAATTCTATAGGTCTCTTAAGAATTCTGAACATTAAATCATGCAATTGTATATTTTTTTATCAGAATGATAATTTATTTGTAGACAGTATCCTGTACTTCATGAAGTATAAATCAACAAAGCTCTAGCACATCAATCTATATGTGAACATTATTTAGTGCATCATTTGCATTTAGGAACACATAGATTTTTACAGAACCTGACAGATTGAAGCGATATTAAATATAATATTGCACGAATTCGTGCCATTAAGGTTTGCATTATCTGATAGGCTGGTTCAAAATCAGGTGTGATATAATAAAGTTGCCCACTATTGCCGGTATAATGATGATGGTATCACACATTCTAATTTAATTAGCATGGCTCGTTTACTGTTTATAAAATGCTCATATTGTCATGTCTTCAACTCGGAATTGCACGCTAGTTGAATTTAATGCTCCACTATCATGCAATTTTGTCATTAATAGTTCTATAGTGGGATTGTATTGGTGTTTCATTTATTTATAATGCAGTTTTAAAATTTTTACATTGAAGTGATACAAAAATTTGGTTATCAGATATTGAAATAATTTCTTTTGAATTGATTTTACTACATATGGCTGAAAAAAGATTTTTGAAATCAAATTTATTCAGTTAACAAAAGCTCTGAATTTAAAAACTTGATTTCATGTTCAATGCAGTGTTTTCTCTGCCATAACACAATTTCAAGCAAAAATATTATCTGATTGAAACTATAATAATAAAAGTTGTGATTGAAAATAAAAGATTATCTGTCTCTCCTCGTTTGTCTATACATCCATGGTATTGGTGTCCAAGACCATACCTCTCAGGGGCCATTAATTACCAAGATTTTGAGGCGAATCCTGACTCTTTTCTAATAATGTTTTGACATTGTTACAGAATGCTTCTTTCAGTACTTTAGCATAAAAATTCACAACTGAAGATGCATTTTTGATAGAAATAAAAAAAATTGATTGGTAACTTTAATTGTTACTTTGGGAAACAGTTGACATATAGGGTACAATAAAGTACACTTTAATATTGATATTTTATTTACACACTTTATGATTTATCTCATTGCATTGTTGATTTATTGGGTCAAACTAACATTTAGCAAATGATCTAATTCCCCTCTTTACAAAAATGATTTAGTATTAAATAAAAATATTTGATATCAATTTTACCATGCATTAAAGTTACTTTTAATACAATTTTGTTGTAGAGAAAATAATTTATTGCATGGCAATAATCAATTCTGCTTCAATAAATAATGAATTGAAAGGGAAAATTCAAAAGGTTAAAACAACAACTTTTAAACTACCTAGAATAAATGATAGTTTATGAATTAAAAATGTTTCCCAACAGTAGCATTTAATGATTATTTGCTAATAAGCTGAAGTATGATATAAACTTACCAATGTGTGAATACTATTGGATATATCCCTGCAAAACCCCAGCGATTAACTGAGATCAATTTCTCCTATAGGAGTATGCAAAGAGACCAAATAAATACTGAATTGCAGCGGGTTTTTTGCAAAAATTTGTATATTTGTTGTTTCCCAAGTTAAAATCCTGGAAACTATAGAAACACCAGCCAATAGAAATGTTTGTACAAATGATTGAACCCTATCCCATGTGACAAATGAAGGTTCCAGTAGCCAATCGCTCGGCTCCTCTGTAAGTGAGTAATTTTCACAAGTATGTAGGTATTATTTATGTAATCTCAGTGGCTGCTGGTGAATGAAGCTGCTCTCTCAGATAACATCTATCATTATCCTAGAACCTTAACACAATATAGGGTAAATCTTTTGTAATATAGTTAATATAGATTTTAAAGAAAACATATTTAGGAAGTTAAAAAAATTTCTAAAACTACACTTTCTCATTGTTTAAGAAACCCCCAGGTTATAAATTGAATTAATTTGATTGCTATGAAACTTTCACTGAGAGTTATCTATTGTGATCTGGGATAGGAAAACTCGAATAATCACTTAAAATTCCCATTTACTGCTTTAATTTGGGCTGTATAATAAAGCTTTTACTCCCAGAGGGTGACCAAAATTTACACAATCCAATAAAGCTTAATCGTAATTCCATCAGACCTATAAAACAATGGAATTATCTTTGATTTAAATGTGTATAAGAGAGTTGAATGATGGATTGCACAACTATTTCTAAAAATAAAATGATGCAAAATTGAAACTTTAATTATGAAACTGAGCTGGCATTTAAAAAAATATTCAAACCTTAAAAAAATACAAAAAGTAGTTGTGTGAGGTTTCTGTTTTATTGATTTACATTGAAGAAATATGTTCATTTGAATTTTGTCAAGTCTTGTCAGTGAATCCTGTATCTTAATTTACCTGTAAGGTCACCAGGGGTTATTGAGCATCACTTGATTGATTTTAATGTTGAGTATGCTTTGATTGATTTTGTTGTTGAGCATCCCTTTATTTGATTTTGTTGTTGAGCATGCTTTGATTGATTTTGTTGTTGAGCATCCATTGACTGATTTTGTTGTTGAGCATGCTCTGATTGATTTTATTGTTGAGCATGTATTAATTGATTTTGTTGTTGAGCATGTTTTGATTGATTTTGTTCTTGAGCATCCCTTGATTGATTTTGTTGATGAGCATGCTTTAATTTTTGTTGTTGAGCATGTTTTGATTGATTTTGTTGTTGAACAAGCCTTGATTGATTTTGTTGTGGAGAATGCCTTGATTGATTTTGTTGTTGAGCAATAATTTGCCTTGATTGATTTTGTTTTTGAGCATGCCTTGATTGATTTTGTTGTTGAGCAAGCCTTGATTGATTTTGTTGTTGAGCATGTTTTGATTGATTTTGTTGTTGAGCAAGCCTTGATTGATTTTGTTGTTGAGTATCCCTTGATTAATTTTGTTTTTGAGCATGCCTTGATTGATTTTGTTGTTGAACAAGCCTTGATTGATTTTGTTGTTGAGCATGTTTTGATTTTGTTGTTGAACAAGCCTTGATTGATTTTGTTGTTGAACAAGCCTTGATTGATTTTGTTGTTGAGCATGCCTTTATTGATTTTGTTTTTGAGCATGTCTTGATTGATTTTGTTGTTGAGCAAGCCTTGATTGATTTTGTTGTTGAGCATCCCTTGATTGATTTTGTTTTTGAGCATTCCTTGATTGATTTTGTTGTTGAACAAGCCTTGATTGATTTTGTTGTTGAGCATGTTTTGATTGATTTTGTTGTTGAGCAAGCCTTGATTGATTTTGTTGTTGAGCATCCCTTGATTAATTTTGTTTTTGAGCATGCCTTGATTGATTTTGTTGTTGAACAAGCCTTGATTGATTTTGTTGTTGAGCATGTTTTGATTTTGTTGTTGAACAAGCCTTGATTGATTTTGTTGTTGAGCATGCCTTGATTGATTTTGTTTTTGAGCATGTCTTGATTGATTTTGTTGTTGAGCAAGCCTTGATTGATTTTGTTGTTGAGCATCCCTTGATTGATTTTGTTTTTGAGCATTCCTTGATTGATTTTGTTGTTGAACAAGCCTTGATTGATTTTGTTGCTGAGCATGTCTTGAATGATTTTGCTATTGTGCATGCTTAATTGATTTCTTAGCTCACCTGAGCCAAAGACTCAAGTGAGCTTCTCTGATCACAATTTGTCCGTTGTCTGTTATCGTTGTCATCGTTGTCATCATTGTCATCATTGTCGTTGTAAACTTTTCACATTTTCGACTTCTTCTCAAGAACCCCTGGGCCAATTTTAATCAAACTTGCCACAAAGCATCCTTGGGTGAAGGGGATTCAAGTTTGTTCAAATGAAGGGCCATGCCCTCATTCAAGGGGAGATAATTGGGAATTAATGAAAATTTTGTGGTATCTTTTAAAAATCTTCTTCTCAAGAACTACTGTGCCAGTAAAGATGAAACTTATGGGGAAACATCCTCAGGTAGTGTAGATTCAAATTTGTTCAAATCATGACCCCCTGGGGTAGGGCGGGGACACAATGGCTGACCAAAGTTTTAAATAGAAATATATAGGAAAATTCTTTAAAAATCTTCTTCTCAAGAATAGCAAAGCCATAATTGATCATATTTATATGGAAGCATCCTCAGGTAGTGTAGATTCAAGTTTATTCAAATCATGACCCCAGGGGTAGGGCGGGGCCACAATGGCCGACCAAAGTTTTACATAGAAATATATATAGTCTATGAGTCACTTGGGGTGGTCGGTACCATTTTGGGTGAATAAAGTTTATAGTGATATTTAGTAAGGTATACCCCTAACTAGTGAGAAAATGTATGATAGCATCAAATGTGTTGTGGCTTCAATGCTGGAGACACATTTATTGCCCTTAATTTGCTCAAATTAGGTATTTTGAGCTACCTTTGCAACCTTCAAAGAATTTGTCACACAGTTGCCAACCGTGATAGAAAGTTCTACCAGAATTACTCCGAGATATGATGAACATATTAAAAGAGATTAACTGAGTTACTAGTCTTGATTCCTATAACAATCAAAGTACTCAGAAGTACAGAGAGCCAGGCTCATTTACAGAGTAGAATGGATTTCTTACATGAATCACGTTTATATTCTGATGAAAAAATTATTTTAAAACTATCAATATAAATGATAAGACACTGACAGTGAGTTTTTCAATCCTAATACCACGGTCTGATTTTGTCAGAATCAGAATTAATCTGGTACCGCAGCTGAATGTAAACAAACAGGTCAGTCTGGTTCCCTCTCCTGCTTTACCTCGTATGTGTAGAGAACTACGGTAACACTGATTATCAAAAATCCTTACGCTAATGAACTATGTTCTTTGACTTATGAAGTTTTCAAAGTCATTACTACTAATGTTTATTTTATATAGATAAAACTTTGTTTTATTTTTGTTGCTTTATTTAGCGTTTGTATTATCTCAAAAGCGGTTGAGAGTAAGAACTATATTTTTGCACGTAACTTTAAAATGGCGACTATGGGGTTAACATCCTGCCTTGAACAGGATCACATAAGCCGGCAATTGCTCTTTGAGCAATAAGCCCGGCTAAAAATTGTATATTTTTACCAATTTTATTCAACAATTACATGTACCTAAAAAATTTGTATAAAGAAAAAGAGAAGTATCAACGCACATATACTACTTTAGTTATTCGTACGTCAGTGAGGACGATGACCACTGTCTCATCTTCGTGAGGGTGGGGGTTGACCTGGACAGTGGGCTCAGAGGTGACTGGTCAGGCCAATCCTCGCACAAGCAGATGAAGGAGATTTTCGACTAGAGCCACGCCCCCTTCTTTGTAAATCTCAGCTGGGATGGAGTATCCGCCAGGTGCCTTGCCAGTTGACAACAGACTAATTGCTTCCTGGATCTCAGTGACTGGTTGATGGGAACTTGGGCAGTCGGTTGATGGCTTCGTCGTTGATGGTAGAAGGGCAGTTCAGAATGCCGTTGAAATGTTCTGCCCACCTGTCGATTATCTTTCTTTCTCTGTGATGAGTGTTAACCCGTCATCACTGAGGAGAGGGGATGGGCCTGATGGAGTTGACCCGTAGACTTCCCCAAATCCACAGTAAAAGTTTTTCCTTGGCCTGTCATGAGATTCGGCGAAGCGTTGGATCTCGTCAACTTTGGCATTCAGCCAGGAGTCTTGCATATCCCGAAGCTTTTGCTGTACTATGCTGCGAGCGTTCCTCAGAGCGTCTTTTTGACTGCGGAGGTGGAATCATCTATATGAGCCTTGTAAGCGCGATGTTTGTCCTCTAGAAGTACGTGATCTCGGCACGGTTCTCATCAAACCAGTCTTTGTATTGTTTTTAGCTCACCTGAGCTGAAAGCTCAAGTGAGCTTTTCTGATCACCCGGTGTCCGTCGTCCGTCCGTCCGTCCGTCCGTCTGTCCGTCCGTCCGTCCGTCTGTAAACTTTTCACATTTTCAACTTCTTCTCAAGAACCACTGGGCCAATTTTAACCAAACTTGGTACAAAGCATCCTTGGGTGAAGGGGAATTTAAATTGTTAAAATCAAGGGCCAAGACCCCTTCCAAGGGGAGATAATCAAGAAAATACGAAAATAGGGTGGGGTCATTAAAAAATCTTCTTCTCAAGAACCACTGGGCCAGAAAAGCTGAAACTTATGTGGAAGCATCCTGGGGTAGTGTAGATATTAAATTGTTAAAATCATGACCCCCGGGGGTAGGGCGGGGCCACAATAGGGAATCCAAGTTTTACATAGAAATATATAGAACAAATCTTTAAAAATCTTCTTCTCAAGAACCACTGGACCAGAAAAGCTGAAACTTATGTGGAAGCATCCTTGGGTAGTGTAGATATTAAATTGTAAAAATCATGACCCCCGGGGGTAGGGCGGGGCCACAATAGGGAATCCAAGTTTTACCTAGAAATATATAGAACAAATCTTTTAAAAATCTTCTTCTCAAGAACCACTTGGCCAGGAAAGCTGAAACTTATGTGGAAGCATCCTTGGGTAGTGTAAATATTAAATTGTTAAAATCATGACCCCCGGGGGTAGGGCGGGGCCACAATAGGGAATCCAAATTTTACATAGAAATATATAGAACAAATCTTTTAAAAATCTTCTTCTCAAGAACCACTGGGCCAGGAAAGCTGAAACTTAAGTGG